ACCTTTAAACCTGGGTTTTGGCTGTTCATACAGAGGGTGTTTGTTGACTAAAATACAGTAAATACCCTAGGAGTTTTTAAGTTCTCAAAATACAAATAAGTTAACATTAATAGTTTAAAAAGGCTGGATGCGGTGGCTCACGCCTGTGATCCTAGCACTCTGGGAGGCTGAGGGGGGAGGATCGCTTGAGCTCAGGAGTTTGAGACCAGCCTGAGCAAGAGCGAAACCCCGTCTCTACTAAACATAGAGAAATTAGCCGGGTGTGGTGGTGGCACCTATAGTGCCCGCTGCTCGGGAGGCTGAGGCAGGAGGATCGCTTGAGCCCAGGAGTTTGAGGCTGTGGTGAGCTATGATGACACCACTGCACTCTACCTGGAGCAACAGAGGGAGACTGTCTCAAAAGAAAAAAAAAAAGAAAAAAGAAAGAAAATATTCTTTGCAATATGGCCTAAGTGTCCAGTTCTGCTACATTTGGTCCTCCAAGAAAATAGAAGACTTGGTCAAATTGGATGAAATTCTGGCTAAATATTGGGGTAAATATAATAATACTACTGTGGGCCTTTGTTATATAATCCACAGTGAAATGATTATGAGTGTGGGTTATGTATATTGATTAAGAGATAATTAAGTTTGAAAAGTTAACATCTCATTAAAATGTGACAACACTACTTTGGCTTGTTTGGGTTCTTTGGGTCGGGCTTCCAGCATGTAAAATAGTTAGACAACTCTTTACAACTCATATTTCTTAAGAAATATGGAAACATATTCTATAGAAATACTCCCACTCTTGACATTTCATGTGATTTCTTTCTGTTGATCCATAATATGCTAAATTTTAATACTAGGATGTATATTTGTGTTAATCCGGTAGAACAAGAAACTGTAATGTTCCAGTGCCTCTCAAACCTGACGTCCTTTTCAGCTTTGTATACAAATAGTCTCAACATGCCCTGAGCACCTCCCTCGGGTATCTGGTTGTGATTGTTGGTTTTCTGAGCTGCTGTTAAATCTGGAAGGTTTGATGTTCTTATCAAGAGCAGCTGTGCCCTCATTTTGTGTTAACTGAGACAGATAATCTAAAGAAAAAGCTGGAGTGCCGTTCTAATCCAGGGGAGGTTCATTTGAGCGTTTCTTTTTTATTTCAGTTCACAGGCCCTCCTTTTTTTCCTTCCTTAAAACGTCAGGAATTTCCAGTTCTTCAAACTTGACCGTTTACGTTCTAAGCCTGTTTGATTTTTTTTTTAATTGGTTTAGTTCTCTCAGTTTTACACTTTAAAAGGAATCTTTGGGGTAATTGTCACTGAACTGAAAGCAAAGTCTTGATGACTCATATCTTAGACACTATGAGAGAACGTGTTGAGGGAGAAACAGATGTTTTCCTCCCTGCTTCTTTGTTTGTGGTTACAACCGTTCAAGTGAAAGAGGAGCACGGCAAGTGTTTGCGGTGGCATGTTGGGTGCGTCGTCTGCCGAGTGGATGGTGCTGTCTGGGCCGGCTCTCCTCCTGCAGGTGGCTGTACCCAGAGCTACACTGTGTGTGCTCCATTCTGCAGGGAATGATTTGTTTTGCAGCCAGAACTTGCTTTAGACTGAAGGACGTTGCCTTGGCACCAGCAAACCCTTTCTTTGATTTAGGAACCCTTCTGGCCCGTCCCGTTATTTTGCAAGATGAAGTGTCTTGTATTTGGTATGCAGTTTGGCTTTTTCCTGAAAGATCAGCTCTTTCATTTTATTCTTTTCTGGATCAGCATAATCCCGGAAACTAGTGAAAGGTGAATAGCCCAAAGCAGGGCATGATTATTCACATCTGTGCGTGTTAAACCCTTAACATACTAGTCGAGCCGAGCACATTGCACATGGCGCCATCATGCCCTCCAAGGCTTATTTTCTTTGTCTGCAGACCTCACTAATATATACGTGCTTGACCATATACCAGGGCACTATTTTAAGCACTTTACAAGTAATTATAAGTTAGATACCATTATTATGCCCGTTTTGTAGATGAGAAGACCAAGGCACAAAGAGATCAAGTAATATGCTCAAGATGACAAAGCTGGTAAGTGATGGGGCTGAACTGAACTCCAGGTGGTGTCTCAGGACAGAGACGAAGCTGAACTGCAGCTG